AAAAAAAATTTTAACCGTTATTTTAAAATAATAATAATAACAAAATGGCGTCGTCGTTTCATTAATTTTTTTTTTTTTGGTTAAATATAAATTAATTTTCTTCAGGTATTGTATTAATTATGTCGAAAGGATGAGTTGGGTCGGGTTGGCATGGGGGTGGAAGAAACAAGGGTTGAATTTTTAATTTTCGACGACGACGACAACAAACAAACAAACAAACGAACAAACGAATAAGAACAAATTTTCATTAGTAATACGAGTAATAAATAAAAATATTAAATATTTTTTTAATAAGGAAAAATTTAATAACTGACGACGAAGACGACGACGACGACGACGATAATAATAATAATTTTTAAGCTTCGTCGAAAATACGGTTGGAAAACAATATTATTATTATTATTATTATTATATCACGCAACGGTTTTTATTGTTGCAATGTGTGAGCATTAACTGGAGCAAAAATTTACTCGCGGTTTTAAGTAAAAAATATTTATTTTACCAAATTTTCTTTTAAATTCTCTTACAAAAAAAAAAACCGTTATTTTCTCTTTAAAAATACTAATTTAATTAAAATTTTTAAAAATTTCAGTCATTATTATTATTATTCTTTTTCTTAAACCCGAAAGGTTAACAATTAAAACGTTATTATTATTATTATTATTATTTTTCCAAAAAAATTTTTCCGTTACTTACCGAAAAAAAAAAAAAATATATCCTAATATAAATATCCTTTTAGTTATTAGTTAATAAATTATTATTATTAAAATTATTAACAAAAAAAAAAAAAAACGAATTAATTATATTTACGTAAAATAATAATAATAATAATAATAATAGAAAAAACCGTTAGTTAAATTTTTACGTTAAAAAACAAACAAGAAACAAACAAAAACAGTAGTAAAAATACGAAACGTTTGTTTGTTGATTTTATTCATTGTCCGCCACACACGAATTCCCGCGTTCGACTGCCGCAAATCGAATGTTTCGAGTTATCGTTCGATCAAATATGGCGGCGCTACTTTCGTTCGTCTCGACGAACGAAAGTTAATTTAAATATTAATTAATTAATAAATAATAATAATAATAATAATAATAAAAGGTATGAAACTCGCACGAATGATTTCATTATTATTATGTTTGTTTATTAAAATAATTTATCAAGTAAATAATAAAGAATTTATGTTTATATTTTAACGTTATTAATATTTAAAAATAAAACGATAATAATAATAATAATAATAATAATAATAATAATAATAATATTTGAAAATACGTTAAAAAAACGTTTTTTTTATTTACCTGATTTTCTAATGTTTTAATTTATTTTTTTAATTATGTAAAATATATATTGTCTGTGTATTTTTATGCGTTACACTCTAAATATTTAAAAAAAAAAACAAAAAAAAAAAAAAAAAATTATTTATCCTCGGTTTTTATTTATTAATTTTACTTTCCATGTATTTATCTACGCCATTTTGTTTTTTTTTGGAAAACTAAATAAATATTTTCAAAGACCTAATTTTTTTTTTTTTTTTTAAAACAATGAGTTCATTAAAAACAAAAAAAAAACTATTTATCCATAAAAGTATATTCAAGGATGCAATAAAATAATATTATTATTATTATTATCATTTTGGTTTTTTTTTCAATTGAAGAGAGAGAGAGAGAGAGAAAAGAATTTTTTTTTGATCTTGACATTTTGTTTTACATTTTTTCTTTGTTTCAAAAAAAAAAAAGCAAAAAGTAAAAATTCAACCTTCTCGATTCTCTTCATTAAATTCTTTATAATAATAATAATAATAAAGAAAATTATCATTATCATTTTTTTAAAAATAAAATATCAAAAAAAACTAAATAAAAAAAAATTATGATTTAAAGTTTTGTAGAATTTAAATTATAAATGAATTAGTGTTCATATCACAAATATATTATATAAATAAAATTTATTATTAATTTAAATTAGATTCATATAATATTATCATGTATCTCTTGTTTTATTATTATTATTATTATTATTATTTATTTTAAAACTTACCCAAATCATTTATTAAATAGTATGTATGTATATAATGATATGAATCTGAAAAAAGAAAAAGTATATTTAAAAATATAAATATATATATAAATAATTTTAATAAATGATAATTAATGTTATGATAATATATAATATAAAATAATCAATTTTCAATTTAGTATAAGTTTTAGTATAATTTTAATATAAATTATATAACAATGGCTCAATACTTTTTTTTATTTATTGAAATTATCAGAAACAATTTTAAGAAAAAAAGTGTTCCCACTTATAAAATATTTTGACATATTACAACTAATTTTTCTTTTATTTTTTAAAGCGTGGGAGTATGTAATAAACAATGGATAATAAAAAAGCAGAAGAAAAAATTAGTAAGAAAGGTAAAAAAAAAAAAAGAAAAATTTAATACACACACACAGTTAATGTAATACTTACAAAATGGTTTCAAAAGTTTTTTTATATGAATAATAAATTTAATTTAAATTTTAATTTTATGTTGTAAAATTTTTGATATCATTTATTTATTTATTTACTAATTAATAAATTTTTTTTGAAAGTATCCAAAATATGGAAATTGCGTTTCTATCGTTTTTATTTTTCTATTCAAAAAAGTTTCTTTTAGAAATTATATATATATATATAAATTAATTTATGATGATGATGATGATGATTCCTATCAATTACATTTTAATTGAGTTTTTTTTTTTTTTTTTTGTAAAAATTTTTAAATAGGTTTACTAATTGATTATATAAAAAAAATATATATATACTATCATAATACCTTTTAAGGTTTTTATTTTTAATTAAGAGTTATTTATTTATTTATGAAAATATTATAAATTTGAAAAATTTATTAGCTGAGACATATTTAATAAATTTAATTTTTTTTTTATTTTAATCAAAATTTTATCTGTACTTACATAAGGTTTCCTTTTTTTTTTTTTTTTAAAAAAATAAAATAAATTTTAAATTAAAATGTGACACTTTTGATAAATATACTTTCTTTTTTTTTTTTTTTTTTTTTTTTTGTAAATTAAATATCAGTTTTATTTAAATTTTTTGAATTCCTTTTAAAAAACGTTAATTTCTTTTTAAGTTGGCTTTATTGATTTTTTTAACCAATCAAAACGAACGAACCGATTTAAGTTGGCAGCTTTGTAAAAATTTCTTATGCAATTGCATACCAGCGTCTAATACAAAAATGTCATGTGTAACGGTCGTCGAGTTTGTTAATTCATTTATTCTTTTATATTATTAATGTTATTTTTGATATTTATTAAATTTATCGCTCATGAAATTAGGTAAAATAGTTTTAATATTTTTAATTATTAACGATCATCCGGATTTATATATTATTTTGGAATTATTAATTAACTATTTACAACTTGAAACTTGACTGTTTAAACAGGTTGTCCTGCCTTTTTTTTTTTTCTAATAAAAGATTTTACATCTTTTCGGTTTTTGATTTACAGTTAAATAATAAAATTTAATAGGTTAATAATCGCGAATAAGGCTGAGAATTGTTCAAATATGAATTCAAAGACTGGTAAAAGTGTTCAGGAAACAAAGCAAGTTCAATATAAGGTTGTAAATTTTTTTTCTTTAAATTTGTCTGAAATTAATAAAATTCATCAAGGTAAAATCTCTTAAAATTTTTTTTTTTTATTTAGGAAGAAGAATCAGAAGAAATAAAAATAAACAAGTGTTTAAAGTATCTTAAAAGTGGTGAAATACATTTAATAAATTTAAAAGATATTGAATATTGTTTTAAAATCAAACCGCAATTTGGAGATTTTTTACAATATGAACTTCATAATTATGCCAAAAAAAACATGGTCAAAGAAGAAAATCATAATATTTTTGTACAATTAGCTAAAATGAACTATTCAAAAGATACAGTATCTAAATTTACAAATATTGAACGCTTTATCGGATGTGTTTCTTATATTTGCTCTCACTTATTGAAATTGGTACGAATCATCTTTTTGTAATATTATAAAAAAAAGGTACATTGTATTTGTGTAATAGTGCTTTTTTTCGTTTTGTTTTTAGAAAAAGTTTGATGAAGCTATCGATATAAGTTCAAGTTTGGAATTTAAAAAAAATGAAATAGTACTTGCAGTGAAAAAAAACTCGGATGTTTTTAATTTTTTAATCATGTTGCATAATTCTTTTATTTCATCGGCATTAACATTAGCATCTCAAGCTGAAAATTGCCTAGATAAATTTCATAAATATTCTATGAAGCTTGCAAATGCTTCACTAAGTTTTTTCCAGTACAATACAATCAGTAGACCTGAAATAGCCAAAAAAGTTTTAAAAAAATCAAAAATATTTCTTTATTCGATTAAAAATCATAATGCGAAAGAGTCATCGAAATTTTTTAACGATTTAAAAAATGTTATGGAAAATTTAATTCCTAATTTTTGCCATTACAGTTTTAGTTCATATTTTCTTTTTAAATTAGAACAAATAAAAAATTTTGATCAGTTGTCCGGACAAGATCTATATAATACTTTTGATAAAATCTCCAATCTTTTTTTATTAACCTCTGATTTTTCATTTGCTGTTAAAAAAAATTTTGAGTCCATTTTAGAATTTTTTTTTGCATCCCCATGTAATAATGTTAATGCCATTGAAGAATTTACAAAGAATTATACTATATCAGATAAATGTGATAAATTTTCATTATTTTTATTAATTTCAATTTTTTTCAATCATGGCATTCGATATTGGTATAAGTTATTTGAAAATAATTGGAACAATATTGTTTCTGCTGAAAAATTAAAAGTTCTACTGTCTGAAATGTTAGAATTGATCAAACAATATCACAGGTAAATTAATTAAATATTTCATCTTCCTTTCCAGGTAAAAATATATTTTTTTTAATAATAGTGTTTTTATTTTAATAGAAATGAAAAATTATACTGTTCGTTATCTCCGACGCCATTCGAAACTTGTTTCGTTGATCTGCTATCTGGAAATTTGCAAAAAATTCAATATACAATTCGTTTAAGTTTAAAAAATAAAATACCTGATTGTTATTCGCTAATATCATTATCGAAAGATGCTTTTGAGGTATCCATTGAATGCACGGATTTTATGAAAAAAGTCGGTTGTTGTGATTCCAAAAGGAATTATGCATGGAAATCGGCTGGTAAACACATTTTAATTTAATATTTATTTAAACGTAAGTTTACAAATTCATTACATTTTTTTTTTTTTATAAATTTCAGTTATTAATCACACAAATTTAATCGAAGATATATTAAGGTGTTGTTCGTCAAAAGATGAAACGTGGATGCATTTAAAAGAATATTCGCAAAATTTATTAAAATTGATAATAAATTGCGATTACGAATTGCCATACGATGTAAAAAGAATCAACGTAAGTTTCTTCTACAGTCTTTAATAATTTTTTTTTTTAATGAATTATAAATTTCGTTTATAATGTGACGACTAAAATTTAATTATAGGTTTTATTTCAAAGGTGGCATCATTCTCTTATGAAAATGAAAGAATATAATAACGCACTGTTTGCATGCACCGCATTTTACGTTGTATATCCACAAGAAGAAAACGATATAATGTCTATGTGGATTCAAACGAAAACGGAATCTAAAAATGAAATACTTCAGGTTAAATTCATATTTTTTTTTTTTGTGTTGACCCATTCAAAAGTCTAAGTGAATAATAATTGCAATAAAATTATCTATCTCTCTCTCTCTCTTTTCTGAAATCCCCACCACCAACGAGGGATATTATATATCATTTAAAATAAATTTATATAGGATTGCAATGATTAATTTTTTATTTAAATTTTTTTTTTTTCGTTGCAATTTTTATTAAATTATTATTAATATGGTTAATGATGATGATGATGATGAATGAATGAATGAATAATTTTAAATTTTGTTTGTACTTGAACTCACCTGTTTAAAAAATGATGATAAATTATTTATTTATTTATTTATTTATTTTTTTTTACAGGAATTGACAATATTCGATATATTAAAAAATTACGATTTTGCATTGAGGGATTTCATAATGAAATATAATCGTGATAAAATCGATTCGAAATCTTTACTCTTATCCGAATTAAAAGCTTATAGTTTTTGTTCAGAGTAAGTTTTTTTATCATATAATAATATAAATTTAAAAACTATATATATATATAATTATGGAGGAAGTGTGTAATTACATATTTAAAAAAATTGGGTTCATTTTATTGTCTCTAAATTTAAATATTAATTAATTTATTATTATTATTATTATTATTATTTCTATAATTTGTTTTTTTTTTTTTCTTAGTATAATTTATTATATAAATTACATTATTTGTGTATACTTTCTAAGTACATGATAAATTTTATTTAATTGATATTAAAAAAGAAATTTTTATTAAATAAAAGTACTTGTTACACGAGTTCAAGGATTGAAATGTCATTGTCATACATTAAAAAAAAAATTAAATAATAATAATAATAATAATAATAATAATGTTAAAACTTTACTTTTGTTTTTACAGAAACACATTTTTAAATCAAAAAATCCTTCAAAATTTAATCAATAGAATATGGAAACAATTGGAAAAAATGAATTTAAACATTTGGGAAACATCATTCGGATGTACTTGTCTCTTATCCGCAAACATATCAAATGGGGGTACGAAAATTTCTAAAAATCTCAACGATAAATGCGAAAATGTTATTAAAAATCTAATGAATTGGACGTATAAGGTTTGTAAAAAAACTTAATTTCTTTTTTGGGGGGGGGGGGCGAAATGTATATATATATGTATGATGATGCACGTATTAATTTTCACAAAGTTAAACGTGTTGCTAAGTCTACCTACGATTAAATCGAATAGTCTCGAATGTAAAGGAATCAATTTTTTTTAATGTAAGGTATTATCGTAAGATTATGCATACCTGAATTTGTTCTCTGACGAAATCTCGCAATTCGAAATTGTTGTATTGAGTGAGAGACGAATTAAATCATTTGGCGTTCGGGTCAAGGTAAAATTTCAACGACCATCTCTAATTTTAAAGAAAAGAAAATTTGCCATAAAACTCATTTGGTTAATGGAAAAGTATACCGTTCGATAAATTTGCCTACGTCAGACATAATGCATTAAAATTTAATTAAATTTAAAAAATAATTTGTAAGGAATCGGGGGGGGGGGCGACGGGTGGGGGACGGTCCATTTTGGGTGGCTGTAAATCAATGGATACAGTAAAAAAAAAAAAAAAATTTTTTTATTAAATTCTTGCAACTCGAACAATATCAAAACCAAAAAAGAAAAAGTAATATTTTGTTAATTTTTTTCAGGGAAGAAAACAATGTCGAAGTTACGTACACGCGGGTAACATACGTTTCGCATTGTTTTTAAATAAAGTTAAACTAATTGAAAATTCCGAGGGAAAATCAAATTCATCGGAATTGGTTTTGGGTTATTTGAAAAAAGTCGAAGAGGAAAAAGTCAAATTCGGTGAAGATGCAGATCTCAATTTGACGTGCAATTTAATTCCGACGTCGAATCAATTAACGGTCGAATTGGAAACGAATTATTTGAATTATTTAAACGAAATCGTTACGCTGTGGGAAAAAGCTTTGGAAAACGATTTGAACGAAACTCCGACTCCCTACGAATTTCAACAATGGATTTTAAATATAAAATTTGTCGCTTCCCTATACGACCTGTACGGAGAATATTATCGATCCTTTTCAATGTGGTTACTCCTTTGCAAAGTCGGAAAATTATCAAACGATTCCATTTCTATTTTGTACGGTGAGTTAAGAAAATGAAACCTTTTTTTAAAAAAAAAAAATGTCCAGGTTTTTCGACCGACGAATATAATAATGATAATGATAAAATATTATCATGTTGCAGGGTTGACTCACGTCATGGAATATTGCACGGACATTGACGAATCGTCGGATTTATTAAACGAATGCGATAAAACAATGGAAACGATGGATTTAGAGGGAAAAGATAAGGATGTCGCCATTTTGTTTTGGCTCACGAAAGCATCCAATTATTTGAATAATAAAAAACCTGAAAAATGTTTCGAGTACCTCGTCAAAGCTAAAAAAATTGCGGATAATTTGAAAGTATCACTTAAGGGACAAATATTGAGAGCGAAATTATGGTGTTTGATAAGTAAATTTCTCACATATTATCCCGATTACGAAATACAATTCGGATACAGGTCAGGTACGGATTTGAGAGTGATCGTGATAAAAGCTTTTAATTATGCGATTGCAGGTGCGAGAAATAATTTCCACGGTGAGTTTTCGAATTCGAGAGCCGTAATCGAAAATTTATTTTTTGTTTCCTTTTTGTCGTTAAATTGTTTTTTTAAATTTTTTTTTTTCTTTTTCAGGTACGGCCACGGTCATAGATTGCGTTGAATTCGTATTGGTTTTGTTGGAAGTGAGTTTTTGGGCTTATCACTTTCACGAAATTTATTCTCAAAGCGATTTCATGAAATTTTTCCTCGATGATTTATATCAAATTGTGCAAAAATTATTTTTACCAACTCGCACGGCGGAAATTCTCGTACGTTTAGCGGAAACGGATTTATTGTGTCAAAAAATATCAGATTGCCAGGAGAAAATAACAAAGTTGAAAAACATATTTTCTACTACGTCTTCTCCATTTAAATCTCTCGGGGTGAGAATTATTTGATAAAAACGTAAATGTTTACTTATTGTTATTATTATTATTATTATTTTGTTAATACTTTGTTGCAGAAAAGGAAATCTTTGAAAAAACTAAATTATTTATCACCTCCCTGCGAAAAGGAAAATCCATCAAATTCGAATAATAAAATTTCACTTCGAATAAGTCCGACGAGATTTTTAGAAAAACCTAAAAATTTTAACGGATGTCTCGACGGTGGCGGTGGTGGTGGTGGTGGTGACGTATCACCCGTACAAAATTATTTATCCAACGATTCGAAAATGGATTTTAGAGGTCACGAACCCGAATGCAAATGTCGATCGTGTCAAAACGTACTCATACAAATACTAACCATGTCACTGTTGAGTCTCGAAGGTGAAATTCACAAATTTAAAATGTGTTACACTCAAGCGACGAAATGTTATCAAAGCGGAAATGCCATCCTGTGGAAATTGAAAAGATTGGAAGAGGAAAAAGGTGGTGAAATTCAAAGAGACGTGAAAAATTCGCTGAATCTAAAATCGATGGGTCGAACGAATTTTCGTAAAAGATTTTTACAATTTCATTCGATACGATATTTGATAAAATATTCACTTTTCGATTCGTCCGAATCGAATTCGATCACGTCAAATGTTAAAAATTGTTTGAACGTGATTAAAGAAATAATGGCGGAATTTTGTTACGAAGAAAAATTACTAATGTGGAAAGTCGAACAATTAAATTTATATTTGTTGATACTGTCGGATGTTGGTGATGACGTCGTCAGATCACTTCCGAAAGGTTTCTGCTTTTTCTAGAAATTTTTTCTTGGAAATTTTTCTTCATCTCCTAAAATTTTACTTTTTTTTTGAATCAGGTGATGGCGATGATGACGTTTCTCTTAAAGAATATGATATTGTGACGTCACCAAACGTTCCGTCAAAGACAATCACAAAGACGATCCCGAATCCTGGAAAAACTTTGAAAAAGAAAATACCTAAAACTGTTAAAAAAATTATCGTTAGTAAAAAATTAAATTTGGATGATGATGATGCGGATGCTGATGATGATGCAGAAAAAAGCACGGATGCGATAAATATGGGATTTTTGGTATTAATAATAATAATAATAATAATAATGATGATGATGAAGAATCTTTAGGAATTAGTCATTAAGGAAAGTTTTTTATTTTTTTTTTAGGGACCACTTCCAAGCGAGAAAAAGAAAAAAGGACAAGAAGGGAGTAGTGGTAGTGGTAGTAGTTGTAGTGGTAGAAAAAAATTAAATAATAATAAATACGAATGCGTAACCGGAAGTAAAGTAAGAAAATTTTAAGAGGAAATTAAAACTTGTTTGAATTACGCGGGAAATTTAAAAAAAAAATTTTTTATTTTTAATATTTTTTTCAGACGGTCGTAAAAAAAGGTTCGACGGTGAAATGTCGGAAAAATACGATTAAGCCGAAAAAATTAAATTTGGATGAGTCGGATTGACGACAAGTGAATGAATGAATGAATGAAAGAATGAATGATTGAATGATTGATTGAATCGAGTCGAAGTGAAATCCACCACCGAACGTGAATTATAACGTAAACGTCGCCGTTATTATTATTATTATTATTATTATTATTATTATCGAGTAACGCAAATTTTTTTTTTTTTTTATTATTTAATTTTTATCAGTACATAAACGTCGGTTCGATAATTAATAAATTATTTAATTAATTTATTAATTTATTTATTTTTTAATTATTAATTTAATGAATTTTATATATATACGTGTAACAATTTAATTTTTTTATTATAAATAATTTAGAAATTTTATTATTATTATTATTATTAATATTAAAGAAAGAACCGATTGGAAAAATGGAAAAATGATTGATTGATTGATTGATTTTAAATTTTCATTATTTTATGTAATGATTTTATGGAAAATATATAAAAATGTCGACGAAAAAAAATTCCCTTCCTTATTTCCCCCTCCTCTTTCCCTCCTCCCCCTCCCCTCCCTCGTTCCCTCCTCTCCCTCCGCCTATGAGAATGAAAAAAAAAAAATTTTAAGGAAAAATGCCAAAAAAAAAAAAAAAATTGATGGGGACGGGGACGACGACGACGGGGAGACGAAATGATCCGTAAAAAAAATTTTTCTTACGTAAATTTTAAAAAAAAAAAAAAAGAAAATTTATTATGCAATTTTTTTTTTTTTTTATTCATCCTTCAATTTTTTTTACAAACAAACAACAAACAAACAAACAGAAAACAAACACAATAACGTATTGTAAAAAAAAAAAAAAATAATGGAGAATAGTATCGTTTTTCTTTTGCTACTCGTTTTTCCAATAAATTTTGCGTCGAATTAAAAAAGGATCGAATTTAAATTATTATTATTAATTTTTTCATTAGGAAAATTTTCAACAACGAGATATTTCGATATATCGATCGATTTTTTTTTAGTATAAAATATTTTTTATAATTTATTAATAAGTCGTCGTCGTCGTCGCCGTCGTTCGTTCTTGTCTCATTATTAATATTATTATTATCGTTATTTATTAAGTGAATAATTGCGTCGTGATCTTTTCACGCCGCCATATTAATAATAATAATAATGATGATAATAATTTATTCTAGTAATTTCGACGACATTGAAAAAAAAACGTTCGTAAGCGTTCGTTAATTTTTCAACGGTTTTTTTATTTTTTTGTCCCTCATCGTCGGTTTTCCCAATCAATTCTCCCCACTTTTTTTTTCTTTTTACGCCCCCATTTATGCGTTCACGCCTTGGCAATAAAACAAAAAAAACTTTTCGAAAAAAGAAAAATTTTTCAGTCTATTTGGGGGGACCGAAACCGGTAAACTTTTTTTTTTTTTTCGTTTTTTTTTTCTCGGGGTTCTACCGCGAAATTTTCGAAAAAATTTTAAATTTGAAGTAAAATTTTCCCTTTTTTCCCTTTAAATTTTCCCTCTCGCGTCGCGATAATAATAATAATATTATTATTATTATTATTATTTACAAATCGATTTCAACGACTCGCGGTTTATTTTTCTTATTATTATTATTATTAATAATTTTTTTTATTATTATTATTAATTTTTTTTTTCTTTTTTTTATGTGTCAAACACGTGACGACGAATTTTTATTTATTATTAATAAAAAAAAATTAAATTATTATTATTATCGTGAATAGAAGAAAAAAAAAATAACGGAAATGGATAAAATTACTTATTATTAATTAATAAACGAACGACTCGACTTTAATTATTTTATTAAACAAACACGAATATTTACGTAACACGTGAGTATTTATTATTATTATTATTAATTAATAATTTAATACGATATAAAGATAATAATAATATTATTATTATTATTATTATTTCGTCGTGGATATTGATTATGTTATCACAAATTTTAAAAGAGTTCTTTCATTTACGTTCGATATAGTAGCGATAAAAAAAAAAATTTTAATTAATCATTTAATTTAATTTAACGTACGTGACTATCGGATTTTTTTATTTTTGCCCCCCGTAATCGCCGCCATTTTTTTTTTTTTGCCCAATTTATTTTAAATTGAAATTTTTATACGGGGATTAAAACGGGCGTGACTGAACGCACTCGCGAGCGCGCCCGCGCGCGCACTCTATGTTTTTTTTTTTGTAATTATTTTCGTTATTATTATTTATACTTTCTTTAATAAGTAAGTTGTGTCGATCGAATTGTGATTGATTATGTTAATTTCTTTGACCTTTGACCCATTTTTCTCGTTAATTATTTTTTAATCTCGAGAACCGAAAAATAAAACAATAAAATTGACCCCTTTTTAATTAAAAGTGTGGAAACAATACGTTGAAATAAATATTAAATAATTGTTTTCGTTATTCTTGTTAGTGATTACGTCATCATCGTCATTTGTGGTATTACGTCATAGTAATAAATTTCTCTTATTTTTTCCGATCGATTAAAATTCTTTTAAAAATAAAATCAGAAAACAAAAAATAAAAATTTAAAAAAAATATATTTCCGTCCACTTATTAATAATAATAATGATAATGATGATGATGATGATAATGATAATAATAATTTTTTATTTGAATTGGTCAGTTCTTTAAACTCTCAACCCATTTAAAAAAAAAAAAAAAAAAAAAAAAAAAAAAAACTTTTTTAATTTTCGGTTATAAATAAACCAAAACAAAATATGACGTAAGTGAAAGAGAATCAGTGACGGTTTAAGAATTTTTTTTTGTACACACGAAACAAAATTAACGTAACGAAAATTTTTAAATCTCACTTTTTTTTTTTTTTTTTAAAGTAAAGTAAAGTAATAAATATTATTATTATTACGTAAAATGACGGGTGGAGGAGGTAGTGAAAGGAGGGGAAGGAGAGAGAGAAAGGGGAGGGGGAAACAAGTGAATTTTAGTATTAAATAACAAAAAATTATTATTATTATTATTAATTTAATTTAATAACTATAATGAAATTTAATTGAAATTAATTTTGTTTTTTCACTCCCCCATTTATTATTATTATTATTATTATTATTATTATTATTATTATTATTATTATTATTTAAAAACCGTTATTATCATTATTATTATTAATAATTTTAAGGAAAAGTAATAAAAACAAAAAAAAAGTCTTTTTTTCTCTCCCTTTTAAAAAATGTTACGTAAAGGGTAATAAAAACAAATTATTATTATTATTATTATAGCTTTTTTTTGTGTGTGTGTGTTAAAGATGAATTTCTAGTTGGGGAAATGCGAAAAGGTTTTTTTTTTATTATCATCATCATCATCATCATCATCACCATCATCATCACCATCACCATCATAACCATCACCATCATCATCATCATCATTCATATCATTATTATTCTTATTCTTATTATTATTAATATTAATTTTTTTTTTTGTAATAGAAAAAAAAATCATGTGTTCGTTGGTCAAACAGAATGATTTATTATCATTATCATTATTATTATTATTGTTATTACTGGTTATTTACCGGTACACGAGAATAACCGGTAATTTTTACGTAATTTTTTTTTTTTTTTAATTATTTTTAATTTAATTAATTTTTAATTTATATTTTTTTAAAAACCGGCATAACATTTTGTAATCGACCCAAATAAATAATTTATTTATTTATTAAATCTTCTTCTAGAATAAATAAATAAATAATAATGATAATGATAATTAAAATCAAAATGGGGAGGGAGAAGGTGTCAATTTTAACACTCTCGAATGAATCCGACATTTTTTTTTTATTACCCACAATAAAAACTCGTTACAAACAAGAAGAAAAAAAGAAAAACCCGCGAAAAAAATTTTAAAAATTGGGTTGTTTACTCTATGACCTCATTAATTTTCACGTAGCGCATTCTATGAGACACTTGCCGATTTAATTTTTATTTGTTGTATATCGCTAAAGAAATGAGAAATTTTTTTTTTCGTTTTTTTTTTTTTAATTTTTTTCTTACCCATTAAATTTTATTATTATTATTATTATTATTATTATTATTATTATTATTATTATTATTATTACGATCGAGTTTATTATAAATAATACTTTAAAGTGGTAATAAATGATTGAATTAGGTCGAAAAACAAAATTAAGTTAATAAAATAACATTTCTTGTTTTATATAAAAAAAGGGGGCAGCCATTTTTTATCCCCCCGTTCGAATGGATTTGAAAAAGAGATTCATTCACGACAACACCCAAATTCTTTAATAATAATAATAATAATAATAAATTTTAATGGTATGTTCGTAAGTTTAAATAAACGACAGCAAAAAAATTTAATTGATAAAATAAAAAGATTTTTTTTTTTTTTTTTGTTTTCAGATAATAATAATAGTAGCAGTCAAAAAGAAGATATTATTATTATTATTTTAAAATGTCTACGACGTATTCAAATTCGGGACTTTATAATTCTTCTCCGCAAAATAGTCCGATTGTGACAAAAAGCGAAACGATGAATTTATCGAAAACTTTACAAGTACAAGATCAAATAATAGAACAATTGAGAAAAGATCAAAATGCATTAAAAGAAGCACTAAATGCGGAGAGAGCAATGTTAAAAGAATGCAGGATAACAAACGATAGAGATTTGAAAATATTACAAAGGGAAAAATTACAAGTGAGCAGAATAAACAAACAACAGGAAATAAAAATAGAAGAATTAGAAAAAGAAGTTTCTTATTTAAAAGAATCTCTAATTATGGAAAAGCAAAATTTAAAAAGTTTAGAAAAGGAACATGCATCCGTCGTTAAAGAATTAAAAATAAAAACTTCAAAAGATTTCGATAAGACAAACAAACAGGAAATGATAATTGATCAGTTGAAATCCGAGATAAATGATTTGAAAGATGCATTGGAAAGCGAAAGAAATGCAACAAATTTATTAATAAGAGAACATAATGCGGAAGTTAAAATCCTACGGGAAGAAGTTAAAGCTAAATCGGCAGAAGCTTATCGGGAATTAAAAGAAAGGTAACAAAAAGGAATGACTGACAAACAAAAAAGGGATGACATTGGTTGTTGTTGTTGTTTAATAAATGTTTGTTTTGACAGAGCGACCCGTGAAAGAGAAGAATATAAAGAAATGCAAGAAGAAGCTGAAAAAACTTATAACGTATTAGAAAAAGATTTTCGCGAAGCACTCGCGGCAAAAGATGAAGAAATAAAAAGGGTTAAAGCGGAAGCAAAATGGATACAAAAAGAACTCGAAGAACAAATAAGAACAACATTAAAAGAACCGGCACCCGTACAGCCGGCTGCTCCTTTGGGCACGAACGACTTTATTGAAATGTCAAAGTTCAGAAGAATTAAAAACGAAGTAGCCATTTTAAAAGAGCAAAACAGAAAATTACTTAACGAGTTGCAGGTGAGTATGTCTCCGTCGCCGCCATAACCGCCGCCATCTTGCATTTCGGCAAAATTATTAATTTAACCTCTGCTTAGCTTACGTAACAAAAAAATTAACCGCGTTTTCGCGATTTTCCCGTTGAAATGTATGAAATTAGAAATCGGGGGTAAATACGGAAGTAGATAGAAATTTTCCTTTTTCTCTCATCCTTTTTTATTCCCATCCATTTTACAGTTATTAACAGAAGAAGGAAAAATAACAGAATTGAACGATGTGGAATCCACCGATTTGATATCATGTGACGGTAAAAACAAAGATGGAGGAGACCAACTGTGTAAAAAAAGTCTTACAATCGTACCTAATGAAAAACAATCAGATTTAGAAATTACGAGAATGGTGAGTGTTTTCCGTTTCCGTTTCCGTTTCCTCTTTTTTTCTACTAACTTGCATCGATTTAACAAAAGGGAAATGAAATGAAAATTTTTTTCTTTTTTTCTTTCCTTTTATAGGGATCCGATTATATGATGTGTAAAAAAATTTCAAAGGTAATTTATTTAATTGAAACCCGGAGAAAAAAATTTGACCCCCCCCCTTCCCCCCACTTTATGAATTTTCTTGTTTTGTCGTTTTTCTAGAGACCGACAAAAAGTTTTTTATCCATCAAAAGAAATGATACCTATCAACCCTACACGAAAACTAAAACGGAAGAACGATACGAAGAATTAAAAAAAACAATGCAAATATTACGTAAAGCTCTTCAGTGATTAAATGAATGAATGAATCATTCATTCATTCATTCACTCATTCCCAATCATTCCGACGGATTGCTATACAAAATTTTTTTTTTTTTGCTGTTGGCAACGTGACTTAATAAAAAAAAATTTTCGTATTTTTAACTTTACGAATTTTTTTTTTTTTTTTGAGCGATCAAAACAAAAAAAACGTGGAAGAAGAAAATAATTTCTTTTTACTAAATGGGGTTGGAATTTACAAAAAAAACCTTCGGGGCATTAGACACAAACATAACCCGAAATAATTTTTTAAAAATTTGAAAAAAAAAATTACAGGTTTTAACCCTTCAAAAAAAAAGAGAGACAGAACGAGAGGGAGGGAATGAAACGATTTCAGGCACGTTAATTAATTTTATTTAACCCCTCCTCACCCCTCACCCCTTAAAAAAAAAAAAATTCTCACGGTTTTTCTATTGGGTTTTATTATTATTATTATTATTATTATTTCGGATAATTTTCGACCTTTGTTTCTTTTGTGTATTCATTTTTTTTTTTTTTTCAATCGATTATTTACCGTTCATCATCATCATCATCATCATTATCATCATTACCATCGAGTTTTGATATTTAAATAAAAATGTCGATACACCTTCTGAACAATTCAAAAAAAAAAAAAAAAACGAAAGTGAATGAGTGAGTGAGTGGTTTATTACGTTTGGTATTTAAAATTTTTTTTATTTCGGGGGGCAAAGGGGGGAAGGGGGAGGGAAAAGGAGTCATAATAATTTACGATGAGAATGCGTTGACGCCATTTTTGTTTCTTTTATTAATAATAAAAATTTTTTTTTATAATTACGTAATAATTCCGCGGATTATGTATTAATATTATTATCATCATCATGTAATCGTTTTTTTTTTACCAATTAAAATTATTTGTAATTGTCGTGGCAGTAGTAGTAGTAGTGGCAGTAGTGGGAGTAATAAAATTTTAAAATGACTCAAACGAACGAATATGACTGACCGTGTTTTTATTTGGCGACATGTGGGAGACGACGACAAAAACACGACCAGAGTCAACCTTAGTTGGATAAAACATGTCAGCCATTTTGTTTTCCGTAATCAAACAAACAAACAAACAAACAACCTATAACCTTGTTATTGATAATAATAATAATAATTAAAGGCGTATTATTATTATGTCGTTTGTTTTATTACTTTTTATTCGAACGTAATATTAAAAAAAAAACCGGAAATAAATTTTTTTTTCTTCTTTTCTCGTTAAGATTTTAAATAAATCGACAAAATTGATGCGTCTGATTCGTTTCCGGTTGATTTATTATACATGTATTGTTTTATTATTATTTATATATTATTAATTCTAGAAATTTCTCATTGTTTTTTTTTTTTTAATATTTTAATATTTTAATCGTGTGTGCGATGACATTTTTTTTTTTTACGCATTTCCTTTTTTAGTTGGTGAAAACGTTCGTCGTACTTGTTGACGGTGGCGGTGGTTGGGGTGGTTCAGGTACTTCGTGGTACCAGAGAATAAAATTTCACTTTGAAAAAAAATTTGCGATCGATTAAATAAATTATACTAAATTTGGAATCGAATACCTAGATTTAACAACCCCTTCGAGATAGATAGAAAGTCGATGGAACTTACGATGACGAAGAATTTTTAATAATAATAATAATGATAATACCACTTGTGGGAATCATAATAATAACAAACGAAATAAAAAAAAAAAAACTTATTTTACATTCGTGTCATGTGACAAAGGTTAAAGGCACACCTTCGACATGTGTCAGGTAGAGAGGAAAAAAAAAAAATAACCGTCAGAAAAACATAATCGTGGTTCATGAACGCGCACACACTCCCGCCCAATGAGAGCACGCAATAAAAAATAAATATTGAAGCGAATAAATCATATTAAAATCTTCTTATAAAGGTACGGAATCCATTTAAAACAGGTACAAAATGTGTAAAAATCTCTCTCTTTCTCTCTCTCCCTCTTTAACTCGTTGAATTTATTATTTAAAAAAAAAAAATTATTTCCTCTTTTTTTTTTTTTTATTAAATAGAGAAATCTCGAATAATATACAACATGACGATCACATAAGACCATTCACACGAAGTTTAATAAATTTGACGATAGAATGCGCAGTTGAGCAAGTGTGCGAAAGAGATAGATAGATTTGAGTGATAGTGAAAGAAATTCAGGCACGTTAGTCGGAGTTTGAAAGTTTTCGAAGTTAGTCGTCGTCGTTGTCGCCGTCGTTACTGACGTCGTCGCCGTCGTCGTCCGTTCGATGACTAAAAAATATTATTATTATTATTACATTCAAATGTTTATTCGTTATAATTTGTTACCGGGTTTTTTTTCGGTTTTGTGTTTTGTAATTTGAAAAAGTGAGACAGAAAAATAAGGGGAGTTAACAATTAGGACCCCCCCGCATTTCAACGGTCGATTTTTATGAAAAAAAAATGGATTTTGGATATTCTCCCCAAATGAATTCATTACCGATTTTACAGGTATTGTATTTTCAAATGTTTAACCCTTTTTTTTTTTGAATTTTTTTGATTGGTCGATTCGTATCGCGTGATTTTTGTTCTTTGCATTCGAAAGCGCGAAAGAAAAAACCGTTAAAAGAACACGATGCGAAAGGTTTATAATTTTGAATACGATAAATTTTTTTTTTATTTAATATCGAATTTGAAATCGATTGATAGTTCGATTTATCGACATTAAAAATTTCTTTTTTCTGTTTTCTGAGAGAGGGATAGAGGGTAGGGATTGGAGGGAGGGGAGAGGAAAGGATATAAAAAATGAACGTTATGGTGAAAAAGACGTTACACGTTCGAATTCACGTATAAGTATTCAAGTTAGAAAAAGGAAAATTATTACATTTTTTTTTTTTTTTTTATGTTCCAAGAGTAATCAACTTCTCCAGTCATTATACCGTAATGATACCTGGAAAAAAAAAAAAATTTTTTTTTCTTTACTCCGTTCGGTCAAACGTTTTTTTTTTTTTTTTTTTTTTGACAAGCGTGAAATGAATTTAATTTAAAGGCGAAGTCCGTTGAATTTTTTTTTTTTTTTTCACATGGAAATTTAAATCGTATGTTGTAATTTTGATTCTGGACAAGGATTTAAAACCGTGAAAAAATTTATATGGACACACGATGATGGCGGCGAAAAATTAGATGATGCACGATCGTCTATTTAAAATAAGATTAAGATATGGGATGAGAAAAAGAGAGAGAGAGAGAGAGAGAGAGATGTGTGGAATCTGTCTTTTTCTTCCTGTCATTAACTCACGTTTGTTCGTTTCGGTTGAGATTTCTTCTTCTTCTTCTTCTTTAAAACGATTTTTCAGGTTTTATTTTTTGGTGGTGTTTGAGTGTCATCGTTTTACCATTTCTCAGGTTTATGATTTTTTTTTAGCCCAAAAGTTTTCAAATTTGCCTCCGTGACCTTTTCCTTCTTACAAACCGTTCACGATCGTCACGTTTACAATTGATTTCCTTTTATTTTTCTAATGACCCGATGTTTTTAATAATAAAAAAAAAAAAAAATGACTTTCGACACGGCTTAAAGCCTAAAGGTTCTACTTATGTTTAATTTGTGACGTTCTTTGATCTCGCAAATTGTGGCGGCGGTGGCGGTGGCGGTGGCGATGGCGGTGGAGGCGATGGCGTCGTCCTCCTCATCGTCGACATTAAAATCTACTTTTTTTTTTTTTTTAATTCACGATTGTTATCGATTTATCTTTATTGTTGTCTTTTTCTAAATCCATTAAGGATCGAATCATAAGTTTGACCCTATTCGAATTTAATTATTATTATTATTATTATTATTATTTATAATAAACTTCATTAAGGTTCGTGGCAGCGGCGGCGGCAAATAAATGTTTGTTTGGCTTTGTCACTAATGTTGTCTTGTCGGGGAGCAAAAAATAAATTTGTTTGTGTCACACGTGATAGTTCTCTATTTATTATCATCATCATCATCATCATCATCATCATCATCAAAAGAGTATTTTTTATAGCAAAGTCATCGCGGCCATAAATTTTTTTACCCTCGAGCCATCATGCGAAAATTTCATTTTTTTTTTTTTTTTTTTTTTTTTATTCGGCCGAAATGAAATTAAATCCACAAAATGTTTTTTGTTTGTTTGTTGGTTGTTGTGATGTTTCCACGCGAAAAAATTCCGAAAACAAACGGGGAGGTGGGGAAAGGAAATAATCTTTTCGGGGAGTTTTATTTTATTTTATTTTTTTTTTTTTAAACTTAAGTAAAAGTTAAAAAAAAAAAAAAGGGAGTGGTGGCGGTTGTAGTGATGATGATGATGGCGGTGGTGGTGGTGGTGGTGGTAGGGGGTGGATTCTTTTTTTTATTAATAATAATCGATTCTGGTTTGTTATGTATATATTTAGTTGCATCCTGGAGTTTGAGGAAGTGTGCGTGTATGCAGAATTCGTATTATTATCATCACAGGTATTAATTTTTTTTTTTTTTTTTTTTTATCCAGGACAAATGTTTACGAGGTCAAAAGGTCCCCCATAAATCATCGACTTTCGTTTAATAAAAAAAAAAAAAAATTTCATTTGACAATATGGCATAAATTATTATTATTATTTATTTATTTATTGATTTCCTGGAGTACGTCCAGGTTTTATTTTATTTTATTTTTTTTTTTGTAAAAAGTAAGAATGAATTTCGTGTTTTTTCCCGTATATATTTCAAAATTATTTCAAAAGTGCCTCCCCATACCTTCCTCCTCCTCTTTCTCCCTTCCTCCTTACCGTCTTCCCTCCTCCCCTCTCTCCCCCTCCCTTCAAAAGAAGGAAATGGATGTTTGAATGACGTGCAACCGAATTAATAAATAAACCGTAACGTGAATTTCATATACGTTTGACTACGAATAATAATAATGATAATGATGATGATAATAATAATAATAATAATAAATAAGGGCAAACTGGTTTTCGGGTAGTTTATTAATTTTAATACCTGTAATTATTTTAA